CTGTTCCTGGGTCCACAGGAACCCCGGGCCTATCCCTGTAACACACGAGATGCAGACTTGGCTCCAGCCTTTCCTTTCAAAGAAGCCACTCGGGGCCTCCCAGGTGGCACAAGGGGTGAAGTCACAGCTCTATGAAGCTATAGGCAGCCTCTGCAGGACAAGAGGGGTCCCTGCAGGGAGCTGACACATATATGACCACAGCAGACCTCTCCTGTCTCACCTGCTGCTCCCCCAGCCGTGCATTTCAGTTGATCTGCCTGTTCTGCTCCCCACTCTGTCTCTGGTGAAGCCTCTCACTCCCCACACCTCTGAACTACACCCCGTTCTTGCATGAATAAATAAATAAATCTTAAAAAAAAAAAAAAGAAGCCACTATCTCCAGGTCAGGACAGAACTGGGAGTTCACGGAGTAGGGGCGTGAGGGAGCGGGTCAGGGAGAACAGGGGTACAGGAGATGGCAGTGGTGAGGAGAGACCTAAGAACCTGAAAGGGGTGAGAGCTTTTGTAGGGATTTGGGCGTTGGGCACTCATTGTCCACCTAGTACAGCATCTCCCTGTACAAACTGCCCTGAGGAAGGGCCTCCCGTGGGCCTGGGGATCAGTGCCGCGGACCAGCACAGCAGTGGACGATGAGGCCGTCTCAGGGTTGAGAGACTGCGCGGGGTGGTCAGGGAGACGGCGAATAAATGACACACAGACACCCTTCAAGAGAGTGAAAATCTCTTGATTTTGAGTCAGTGGTCAGTATATATATGTTTTTCTAAAGGCATAGGATCGGTTATCAGTGAACTAAACCAGCTGGCTCATAGGTTTAGCTTATCATCGACAGGGCAGTGATCTATGTCCGCAGCTACATCTGGACCTAGTCATTTTCTTAAGTAGTCAGGCTAATCATTTTTCTTTTGTTCTATGTAATTACTTTTTTGTTTTAATAACTACTCACTACCACTAACTTATTTATTAATTAGCATGGGTGAATATACTTTTCACAAAGTAATATTTTTTCATTAAGATCAAAGCTAACAAAGCCAAGGACACAGCAGAGAAATCATAAAACTAACAATTCTATTATTACACAGAGTTTAGTCATGTTTCATTTGAATTAGCCTAGTTATTAAATTACATATGTTTTTTAATCAGCAATCAATGACCAGAAAAAGGAGAGATTTTAGAAAGACAGTTGTAGCAGAATAAAGTTTGTGGGCCTTGAGAAAGCGAGATAAGGTTTCGTGTGTTCAGCTTTCCTTTAAACAATCTACGTGGCGGCTTCTGGTGGTCGTTATCTCTTAACAGGCATCCGGCCTATCTAAGCTTTAGGGAGTTTGCTGTTCTCCCCCTGCGCGCATGGTTCCTTGCCCACGCCGGACCTCAGGGACCATGGCAACAGCCATTAGCCCTGAAGATCACTGCAGGGGGAGGTGCAGCAGATCAGGACCAGCCTCCTGTGAGTAGGCAAATCTAGGAGTGAAGTGATGGCACCTCCTAGCTGGGCACCTCCCAGCTGGGCCAACTTTTGAGTTGGGGGTTCCTGTGCCTGTGGAGGCTATGGGTCAGACAGAGACGCCCCTTGGGACAGAGACCCAAGATAACCCCTAGAGAAAAGCCTTTGCCCTAGTAGAGAGCCCCCAGGTGGAGCCTCTGTGTAGGGAGAACTTCCCAGGGGGCAAGGGGTGAACAAACACCGGGAGATGATGCCCTCCCTGTGCCCCCAGGAATGTGGGCTTGGTGCTCTCAACAGAAGTAATGATTCATGGACAGTCTCTGCTGGGTCGACTGTGACACTGAGAATCAGGCCTGTTCCCACAGATGAGCACCCTGCCCCCCAGCTTCTAGAAATCAGGCACTAAGGAGCCCTGCCAGAGTGGACATCTTCCTAACACTCCCACCTATTCCTGGGGTGGCCCTTCTAGACTGGGAGGGGGAAGGTCTGCCAGCGCCACCATGTGGCTGGAACAGGAAGGAGCCCTCCCCAGTGGACGCGGCCCATGGAGGCCTGGCTGGTCAGCCTTTTGCAGCGGGACTTGGCTCTTTAGTCTTGGGTGTGGACACAGAGGGGTGGACGGTCATGGATCAGCCCTGGTGGGGAAAAGGGCTTCACCTGCAAGAGTCTGAGCTGGTCCTTGCTGTCCTTGGTTTCTGTCCTCTCCTGGTATCGGGAAGCTGGTGTCCTAGTCAGCGTGGAGCCCTGGCTGTGAGCCCCCAGGAGCCACAGCAGGTCGGTGCACAGAAGAGCGCCCTCTGCCGCCCCCTGGTGGGATGGCGGGTCCCCACAGTGCCAGGTCTCCCTTGAGACACACTGACTTGGGTAATGTGGTATCAGTATGTCCTGGGTGTCCTGAGCAACCAGTAGCCGGGATAATCACCCCGGGAATGAGGAGCATTCAAAGTTGATTACACTGGCCCCCCTTCCAGAGGGGGGACTCATGGAGATACCCAATGCTAGGAAGGATGGCATTTGGGGGACACAACCATTGCCCTGACTTCCATGGTTCAATGCATGTGCTGAAAACAGCAAGCACATCACACCTAGGGTGTGGGGGTGTCATCCAGTGCAGTGGGCAATGAGGGCCCTTAGGGTGGTTGCTTGGCACCCCTTGGTGGGGAGATTTGTGGATTTGCTAGATTGAATGACATGCTTGGCTGCCATTCTGGTTGCATGTGGTCTGTCCTCCAATACAAGGCCAGAACAGCCCCGTTCATCAGTTGTATGACTGAGAAGAATGTAAAATATCAGACCCTACAAGGCTCCTTTCAAATTAAACAAGAGCAGCCCCCTTGATGGCCTGGGACATCAGAGGTATGACAGGGATGCCAGGGGCTGTTGACTGAGGTGTGACTTTGCATCCCAGAGACTCTAGAGTGCAACACCATGTTGATAAGATTGGAACCATGGGTGAGAGTCTGGGGGATAGTTTTGCTATTCTTTACGACTAATTTTATTTACGTATACAAGACTGGGTACAGGCCAGAGGTGCAGGTAGAGACCAGAGACAGAGTGGGGAGCAGAACAGGCAGATTGACTGAAATGCACTGCTGAGGGGAACAGTGGTGAGACAGGAGAGGTCTGCTGCGCCATGCGGGTCGCTTCCTGCCTTGGGATCGAACTTGTGCTGCAGTGGCTGTGTATTGCTTCATAGTGCTGACGCTTAAGCCCTTGCCCCACCAGGGAGGCCCTGGGGGATGGTTTTGATTACAACACCCGATCACCAAGCAGATAAAAAAATACCTGGTCAGCAGACTCACCTCCCCCTGAAGCCCTAGTTGACATAAGCAAGTTTCCCACTTTTACCCACCCTTCCTGCTTGTCCTCCCACACCACCTAACTGAAGCTGTATGATTATTCTGTCGCTAAAAAGACCAGGTTCTTGCTTTTTCAGCATCACCTGCATTGTGCTGCCTGTGGCACAATGCCCATTTCTCCTTCAGCGCTGTGCAACTGATGCAACTCAAGCCACACTGGGGTCCCGCCTCCTGCTGCACGCTGGGTCTGCTGAAGCCACCAGCCTAGCATGGAGCCAGGCCATGGTCTGGCAGAACCACCCTCCCAGCCCTCCCTTCATGCCAGACAGTGTGGCCTCCCCATCAACATGGAGGGTGTGGAAACCAGGTCAAGGTCATGCAGCAGCGGCCTTTTGACACGCGAGGGCCCCAGACGCAGCCCTCACAGAAGGGGTCCTCCTTACCGAAGGGATTCGTGGAGTAAGGAGTCCTCTGACCTGGCCCAGGACGGGCCCCTGGGATGCATCACGCTGGACCAGACAGCAATGGAGCAGCTGCACCCAGAGGTGGTCCCAGACGGGCAGGAGGAGTTACCAGCTCTCAGAGGTGGCCTGGACAGAGTGTTGGTCACCACCCGTCACCAGCGTTACAGCTGTTTGTGAGTCGTGGGCTCACCAACACCAGGCAGCTCACTGAGATACTGGGCGCGGGCCGGCTGCAGGCCTGAGGGCAGTGGCCTCCAGACTCCCACCCCAGCCTCTGAGAAGCTCTTAGGCGTTTCTACAAACCTTTTTAGCTTTTCTTTCCTCAGAGTCAGCTGCTGTCTTTCCTTCCCCTTTGGAGGTTGAGAACATAGTAGTGTTCTTTCCTGGGAGGCCAGGAAGAGCATCAGGCCCAGAGTGTGTGTCCCAAGCTGGCGCCTGACCCGACTCATCTCCTGTCAGGGCGCCCACCTACTAGGCTGATTGGCCACTGGCTGATGGGACCATTTGCCAATCAGCTCACAGCCGGCCCCTGACCCAGCACCCAGCACCCTCCATGGGCCTCTCTACTGCCTGCAGCTGGAGGAGCCTCAGCGCTGGGGCTGGCCCCGTGGGGCCCCATGCTCCTCCCTGCAGCCCTGAGCCAGGGCCGCCTGCCACACTGCTGGCCTCGGCCTGCAGCCTCAGCGCCTGTGCGGTCACTAGTGGTGGGCAGTGAAATGCCCCCACCCACTGCTGCTTGCATTGCCGCAAACAGCTTCTGGGGCAGGACAGAAAATGGTCACTGCCTTTCCAGTAGCTCCCACTGCTCAGCCAGGGGCAGGAGAGCCGTCTGTGCCTCCCAGCTCTGCAGCGGGGTCCACTGTCACCAACACTGAAATGAGCAAAGCTGTCGCCCAAAGTAGAATGGCCTCGGACCCAGATTCCTAACTCACCAGAGCATAAACACTCATGTCAGGGGGAAATAAAAATGCAGAACAGGACCTCCCTGGTGGCATAAGTGGGCAAGACACAACCTATGAAGCTATCTGCAGCCACTGCAGCACGAGTTCGATCCTTGGACAGGGAGCTACCCACATGGCGCAGCAGACCTCTCCTGTCTCCCCGCTGCTCCCCTCAGCAGTGTATTTCAGTAGATCCACCTGTCTTTTCCCCACTCTGTCTCTGGTGAATCCTTTCACACCCCTGCACCTCTGGACTACAGCCAAGTTCTTTTATGCATAAATAAATAAATAAAATGCCCCCGGGGAGAGCTGCCAGCTGCCAGGGCACTCCCTTCCACAACTATATAAGATCTTCTGCAAGAGGATCTTCAGCATAGATTCACCCTTCCTCAGAATCCAGTCCAGCAGACCAGCAGGTAGGATCTGGAAACACGGGCGCTGCATGGAGGTGGGGTGAGCAACAGAGGCCAGCAGGGGCTTCCATGCTGAGATTGCCAGCAGCCCAAGCCTGGATCGCCTTGGCTGGGTGGAGACTCGGTGCTCCCGTGGGAGCTCCCCATGCTGCCTGCACTGTGCACCAAGCTCAGGACCCCGGTGCAGCCTGGGGTCCTCTGCACCCTGGAGTTCTGGGCCAGGCGGGTGGGGAGGGGAGGAAGGCCAGGCTTGGCGACTGCAGGCCTGAGATCAGGTTGCTTCATTTTCTCCCGGGGCCTCCCTTCCTCCCCTTACTACTTGCGAGTTTCCAGGCCAGCTCGGGTCTGTGTTGCAGCCTCGCCATGGAGCAGCTGAGCGCCGCCAACTCTGCCTTTGCCCTGGACCTGTTCCGCACCCTGAGTGAAGACCGCCCCCGTGGGAACCTCTTCTTCTCTCCCCTGAGCATCTCCTCGGCGCTGGCCATGGTCTTCCTGGGGACCAGAGGCAACACAGCGGCCCAGCTGTCCAAGGTCAGCAGAAACAAAGAGAGCGAGTGAACGACCCCTTCTTCCCTGGCAGTGTCTGTGCCGAGGATGGGGAGAGCCGGCCTTGGGGCTCTTCCTGCGCATGTAAAATCTGTTTCTGTGCTCAGATCCCCACTGTGGGGGAGACTTTCAGGAAAAGCCCTAGGCACAGTCCATTGGCTGCAGGTTTTCCCTTTGAATACCTTGTTTAATGAGCACCTACTAGGTGCCAGCTCTGTGGTGTGATTAGCCCAGGATGGGGGAGCAGCAGTGTAGGACCCCTGGGGCAGGGCAGGCCTCTGCTGTTCTAGCTGCCAGACCTGGATCTGTGGCCTCAGCCTCTCCTCCAGGAATAGCCCTTTCCATATTCCTGGGTAGCTTTGCATGTGCAGACCTGCTAGGAACAGAGAACGCCTGTCACATAAATTACTTCTGAGCAGACGGACACCCGGAAATGCACTGCTGTGGAACTTGGTGGACTGGCTTGAGGGGCACAAGGAGACAGGGGACTCTGTATTCTGAGGTCCCTCCTGTGCCCAGTGCTGGGTGTGGCTCTAAGTTCTGATGTCCTGGGCTCTGTGGGCATGAGGGCTGCAGAGAACTGGGAGCCTGATCCTGGAGGGGGCTGCAGGGCAGGGACAAGCCCTGGGTGACTTACTGCAGGTCACTCTCCCGGCAGGAAAGGCGGGTGATGCCACCTTCTGCTCCCCTTATAGGAGTGGGGGACACCTGTGCCAGGTGTGCCTATTTCCGAGAGAGGGACTCTGGCTTTTCCTGACAGTGAGGGAAAAGAGTAGCTGCAGAGAAGGGCTTTCTGCCACCCCATTCACACCTGACACTCACCTGCAGCCGGTATGGCCAGCCCTGGGGTCAGGGTTATGTGCCTTTGCAGCTGCAAAGCCTCTATGACCCCGCTTCACAGAAACATCTCTAAGTGAATGAGACCCGCATCTGCAAAACCATAGACAGAAAAGCCTTTTAAAATATTCAAGATTACACGGTACTAATTTGTCTTTGCTTCTTAAAATGTCACATCAGCCTCTATTCTGTGGCTTTCTGGGATTGGGTGACCTCAGTGAGAATAGTCTTAAGAGCCTTCCGCTCCGTTTCCATTAAAACAGAATCATCACAGCACTAGGCAAACATCCCATTCTGTGAATACCTGGACTTGTGCACTGTAGAGATTTCTCTTCTGTGTCTTCAAAGCCAGGAACAGCCCAGTCCTCACATACCTATAAAATATTTTTTAAAAGATTATATCTTTATTTATGCATACAAGAGCTGGGGCACATGCCAGAGGTCTGGGGGGTGAGAGGATCCACCAGAGACAGAGTGGGGAACAGAACAGGCAGACTGACCGAGGTACACTGCGGAGGGGAGCAGCAGGTGAGACAGGATAGATCTGCTGCACCATGTGGGTTGCTCCCTGGTGGACTGGGGATCAAACTTGTGCTGCAGAGGCTGCAGATAGCTTCATAGGTTGTGTCCCAACCCCTTGAGCCACCACAGAGGCCCCTAAAATAATTCTTGATTTGCAATTGATAGGTGGGGAATTAAACATTTCTTAAATGTTAAGTTTAAAAAAAAAGTGTTTTTTAAATAAGTGAGTTACTGATGCCCAATGGTAATTAAAGAAAACCCCTCAACCCATAATATATTTGTCCCTGAAGAAGTGATGATTTCTACTTTTACTGTTGATTTCTCAGAACTTTCAGCAAAATTGTATTTGATAAAATTATATAATGCAAAAATAGATTTGTACATACATGTGAAGAGACCATGTATTATTTTCTCGGGGAAAAGGAAGACATGTAGAAATATTTGCAGAACTAGAATTATAACCAAAAAAGTGATATAGAAACAGTGTCTAATGTGGGATGATTAGGTCTTACAAAGCTGTCAGTTTGGGGTTCTCCATCATTTGATATCCAATGAAAGACTCAGAAGGTCCTACGTGCGGTCCTCCGTGCTTAGTAATGACAACACATTCCTTTGATGGGAGCAAATGCCTGGGAATCACTTTATAATTTCAAAGTAAATGTTTATAGAAAATGTTTTCTTCATTTTAGACTCTTCATTTTGACGGGGTTGAGAAGGTTCATTCCAGATTTCAGAGTCTGATCGCTGCTGTCAAAAAACGTGACGCCTCCTATGTGCTGAAACTGGCTAATAGGTTATTTGGAGAGAAAACCTATAATTTCCTCCCTGTAAGTACTTTCTGCCTCATGTTATAAAATTCATAAGACAATGCATGTTTTCCTCCAGCAAATGAAGTCTTAGAAGTCACTTCTAATTTTTATATATATTCAGAAAAAAAGGAACGGAAATAGGTAATAGACGATGTTCTCTTGAAGTGCTGTGATTTCACTCTCGTCTTCCCAATGAAGAGCGTGGTCCTGACTGGTTAAGGCAAGAGTGACGCCATCATTCACTTCCAAGTGCAGTCAGTATTCATTATTTATGAGCGTTAGGAAAGATTGGGTATTTTATACAATGCTAAACTTACTGATCTTTACACTTAAAAATGGTTAAGTTGAATAATGTCATGTTATGTATTTTTTCCCATATTAAAAAAAAATGGTTAGAATCTTTGCATTATAAGGAAATGCATGCCTTTGAGGTCAATTTCTATTGCTTCTAAAGATCATAGAAAATGTCTTCTCCCTCTTTTTAAATAGGAGTTCCTAGCGTCAATTCAGGAACTATATGGCACTGAGCTGGCCAGTGTGGATTTCCAGGGCTCCTGTGAAGATGCCAGGAAGGTGATCAACGAGTGGGTCAAAGGACAAACGGAAGGTAAGAGGGTGGACAGAGTGTGGTCCTAGCAGAGGGTCCTGCATCTGCGTCTCCAGCTTCCCACCTGCATGGGATGCCCTCTCTACACCCTCTCCCTATCTCCTCACCCCTACTTCACCATTGGGGTACACCTCCTGTCCAGTGCTGAACAGCTTTCAACAGATTCTTGCAGTGGAATCTTAGAAATGATTTAACCAAAGCAGCTAAATATTCCCCCCCCAAAATTCCCTCAAATGTAACTTTACCTGTTTTTTTCAAGATTTATTTATTTATACATAAAAGAACCGGGGACAGGCCAGAGGTGCAGGGGGTGAGAGGACTCACCAGAGACAGAGTGGGGAACAGAACAGGCAGATTGACTGAAATACACTGCTGAGGGGAGCAGCAGGCCAGACAGGAGAGGTCTGCTGCGCCACGTGGGTAGCTCCCTGTCTGGCTGGGGTTCAAACTCAGGCTGCAGAGGCTGCGGATAGCTTCATAGTGTGGTGCTTAACCCCTTGAGCCACCAGGGAGGCCAGTAACTTTACATTTTAAAGTTAAGGCTAATATTGACTATAGATTACAAGGGATAAAAATTGGGGGTGTGGGAGGGGAATCCAGCCAGTCCAAATTATTTAATCCACCATTGGCAGGAAATACCCTGAGAGTGTGAATCGGGGCTCACACACTTCTGGGTCATGAACCTTTTCCTGCATCCTGGCTCAGGGTCTGGCATGGCGGTGGGATGTGCTGTTGAGCTGGGCATCTGTCTCTCCTCCCACCTCAACTCCAGGTCATGGAATGAGACAAGGCATCTACAGACACCCGGCATGTGTGAGGGTTTGCTTAGTGGAGCCCGCAATTCAGTGGAGGAATCATCCTGCCTTTGCATATTTTGAGGGTTGCTGCCACCTAGCGGATTGGCAGGACTGACTTACTAGTGACTCAAAACATTATCATGCAAGACTGTATATTTTTTCCTGCAAAAAATGGCCATTCACAAACAAGACTCCTTGTGATCACACTCCAGAAAAGGGGCATTTTCCTGTTTTCTGCTCTTTAGCATATTAGACTCATTTTGAAGTAGAGGCCCTGGGGGTGGGTGGGTGGGTGTGTCATTCATCAGCCTGGTGAGTTGGTGCAGTTAGACACACCATGGGGGTTTCACTCGACACCATGTTCAAGGGAAATGAAATGGAAAAGGTGTGTTTGAAGTGCATTTCTGTGCTGTAGTGTGGATTAATAACAACAAGAAAAAACTTTATCTTTTTAAGGGAAAATTCCAGAACTGCTGGCTGCGCGTGTGGTGAATCCCATGACTAAGCTTGTGCTGGTGAATGCCATCTACTTCAAAGGCACCTGGCAGGATGAATTCAGAAAAGAGGAAACCAGGGATGCCCCATTTAAGTTGAATAAGGTGAGCCCATGCACTGCCTAAAAATATTGTTTGCTCTATAAGAATGCAGCTAAAATTATTTGTCATCTTTTCAGAAAGAAACAAAAACGGTGAAAATGATGTACCAGGAGAAGAAACTGCCATTTGGCTACATCCAGGAGCTCCAGTGCCACGTGCTGGAACTGCCATACAAGGGCGGGGAGCTCAGCATGGTCATCCTGCTGCCCGATGACATAGAGGACGAGTCCACAGGGCTGGAGAAGGTGATGCTCCTGCCTTTCGTCTTTCTCTCTCTTTTCCTGTGTGAGTCCTCCTGTGTGTGCTGAGTGGTCAGTGCTCGTTATACCTTTACTGATGTCACTTCACTTCCCCATTCTTTTGTAATCTAGCGCATCACCTTTACTAGCTGGGAGTCCTATGTTTAGAATTTCAGGGAATGTCAGTGAACATGGTGGGGACCGTGTAAAGACCAACCCTAGGTGTAATGCTGGTCAGTGGCAACTCAGGCAAGCTCTCTTAAGTAAGCTTTTGAGATGGAGGGGTGTTTTTATTATAATGAATTGTTTTTTATTAAAACCCCCAGATCTATGGCTTATAGCTTCATCACACACTCTAAAGTCCTTCTATACACGCTCTTGCCCTACAATTCATACAGTATGTGAATTAAATTTCCAAAACTACCTGATAGAAATAGACTCCTCAGATGTTAGCTTGAGGGTTAAGCCCGTTTCCTATTGTGAATTTGTATGAAGTTTCTACCACAAGCTCTTGATGGTATCTCTTGCCAGGGCTCGGACCAGGCAAAACAGTGAGGATTGTGTTTGTTCTTCAGTGTCTCCAGCCTGCTATATGTTTTCTCTACCCCTTTCTTCACCAGACTTTCTGTCAGGAAGGGGTTCTAATATATTAGCCATTTGCAAGGGATGGCATTTGTATAGGGATCTCTTAAAATTAATGTGTTTCTGATTTCAGTTGTATTTCCTCTTCATCTGTTCTCTGATTATAAAAAGAGAGTCTCATGAAAGGGATGACCACCATCCACAGAACAAGTGAAACCATGGTTCTTGTCTAGTCCAGTCAGTGTATTAAAACAGCAGTGATAACAGTGGATGATTACAAACCACTTATGATATGCCAACTCATTTAATGCTCATGGCAGTATTATAAGGTAGGTGCTGTTATTACCCCCATTTCAGATGAGGAACTAGAAGCTTTTCTATTTTTCCCTAGGAGCTAAATCTATTAGGTATTATTTCAGCTGTGTGGAGTCACAGATCACCACAGTGATTAGTGGGTTCAGAATAAATGTAATAGAATAAATAGAAGAAAACTTTTACATTTTCCTTTACACCACTCAACCAAATTTAGCTAATATGTAATATAGCCTTCACAGTAATTATAACCATCAGGGTCCCTCACAGTGATACAGTATGGCAGAGCATTATTGAGTCCCGGATGAATGGATAGATACATGGGTAAGTATGTGGGTGTATGTTGGGTGAGTGGGTATATAGATGGTGTGTGGGTGGATGCATGGACAAGTGGGTGGATGGAGAGATGGATGGATGGTTGTTTGTTGGACTGATGTCCAACCTCCCTGCACTGGGGCCCTGGATGACTTGGAACACACACTCTCTCATTATCCCAATTGCTGGAAAGAACTGGCACAAAACAGGAAGGAAACAAAGTAGCAACAGACATGATGGTCTGTTCCTTTAAATAAGGCTTTAGTACTTAACTATATAAAATTGTATTCCTTTGCACATTGTAATTCCAGATTGAGCAGCAGTTGACTCTGGAAAAACTGAGTGAGTGGACCAAACCTGAGAATATGTGTCATAGGAATGTCAATGTCCACTTGCCCAAATTCAAGCTGGAGGAGACCTACGATCTCAGGTCCCACCTGGTTCTCATGGGTGTGGAAGATCTCTTCAGCGGCAGCAAGGCTGATCTGTCTGGCATGACAGAAGCCTGTGATATTGTCGTATCAAAAGTTATCCACAAGTCCTTTGTGGAGGTGAGCGAGGAGGGCACAGAGGCAGCGGCTGCCACAGCTGTCATAGCCATGTTACTGGCGATGCCAGGTGAAGATTTCGATTTTGTTGCGGACCATCCATTTATCTTCATGATTCGTCACAACTCCTCTGGCAGCATCCTGTTCTTAGGCAGATTGTGTTCCCCTTAGAGGCTGTAGAAATACAAGGTCAAACTTAAAGTTTTATCATCTGACTTATAATACAGCTGTAACTTCACCAATAAAACTACTATTGAAAACCAAATTTTTAATTTCCTTTGTAAGTGCAACCCTGTTGGGTCTTCACATCCATTTACTTTGGTGGGGGATTGATTTTCCTCCTTTACACTGAAAAACTCCAGTGGTCGTTTCTGAAAACATCAAATTCAAACAAATACCCCACACATGTAGACTCTTGACAAAGCAGTAATCTGTGCAGGGAAACATGAACATACTGTGGTTCTGTTAATATATAAAACTTTAGAAGTCATCATAGACACTCTTGGAGATGCAGGGAGCCTAATAAACAATCAGTTGAAAGAGGAGAGCACCCCAATTAAGGGTCTGTTTCATAAAGACAATATGCTTGGAACTTTGTCCTATAGACTTTTAAGACCATTAAATTTTTTTATTTTTAATGAAATTTTTCTTGTATTATTGTAGTCCCCATGGTTTTCCCACCACCATATCACCTGTGAACCATCACCATATTCCCTTGTGTTCTTCCTTTCCCTGTCTTGCCCCTACCCCTTCTCTTTCTTTTGCTGTGTGCATCAAGGGTAGGTCAGCTTGCTAATTTTGACTTTTTCTTGACTATTTGCTTGATTTCTCTATATGCCACATAGAATTAAGACCATCCATTAGTTGTCTTGTTCCTTCTGACTCTTCTGGCTCTTCCCTCTCCTTCCACATTGTCATAAATGGCATGAGTTTATCTTTTTTGATCGCTGAGTAATATCCCATGATATAAATATTCCACAACTTTGTGATGCATTCCTCTATGTTGGGACATTTGGGTTGTTTCCATATCTTGACTATTGTAAATAGTGCTGCAGTAGAGTGTGGGTTTCCTTTTGATTTAGTGTTTTTGCACCCCTTGGGTAGATTCCTAGGAGTGGAATCTCTGGATCATATGTTAAATCCATTTTTAGGGTTCTGAGGATCTACACATCTTTCCATTGTGGCTGGACCAGTTTCCATTCCCAACAGTAGTGGAAGAGGGTTCTATGTCTCCACATCCTCTCCACCATAATGTTTTTTTTTTAATGTGGGCTATTCACAAAAGAGTGAAGTGGTATCTCTGGGTGTTTCTGATTTGCATTTTCCTGCTAACTAGTCATGTTGAAATAAAATTTTTTAAGATTTATTTTTTATTTATTTGTGCATACAATAGCTGGGGTACAGGCCAGAGGTGTGGGGGTGAGAGGATTCACCAGAGACAGAATGGGGAGCAGAACAGGCAGATCTACTGAAATACACTGCTGAGGGGAGCAGCGGGCAAGATAGGAGAGATCTGCTGCACCATGTGGGTAACTCCCTGGCTGGGGATTGAATTCATGCTGCAGAGGCTGCTGATAGCTTCATAGTACTGAGTCTTAACCCCTTGCACCAGCAAAGAGGCCCATGTTGAAAATTTTTCATATGCCTAATGGCCATTTGCATTTTTTCTTTGGAGAAATATCTTCTTAGTTTTTCTGCCCATTTTTGACTGGAAATTTTAATTTGTTCAGAACATTAATGAAGAGCTGACTGGGGATCCCTTGCATTCTCTATTCTGTTCTACTTATCTGACCCCATGTGTAGCTCTTGTGAGGTGCCATGGCGTCAAGAAGCGGGGGTCTCATGTAAAAATGCCAAGAAATGACCAAAAGAAAAATGGAGTAGGAGAGACTGTTATGCAAAGGGGGAGGGAGGGCAAAGGTCTCATTTCCCCCAACAACATGGGTGTTTTCTCATAAATCTCTCCACGTCTATTATGGTACTTGTGCTATGGCAGTGCTGGCTTATGTGGGCTGTGGTGGAAGATGGGGCTCTCTAAGTGGCAATTCAAGGGCAGGGATGACAGGAGAAACTTCCCAAGGAATAGTTCTGGGTCATTTGGGATCATACCCCCCACACCTCTGGCCTGTACCCCAGTTCTTGTATGCATAAGTAAATGAATCTTTAAAAGTAATGCAGAACAATGTGTCTTTGGTTCATGCAGCTCAACTTTCAACTTTTGCAGGCAGCTCCTCCTCTCGACATTCTCATTTTAGCCTCCTGGGGAAGTTCGTACGTGGGTCTCTAGTGCTGTGAGACATGCGGAGAAGGAACAGATTTCCTCTGGGGACTTCAACATAACCATGACAGGCTTCCCATACATCTTGGCTCTTTCTTCCCACAAACTCACAGGCAGCTACAGTCTCAGTTTTAAACTCTTTTTTTTTTTTTTTTAACTGTGGAGACCATTTGTGCACCTCATTATGTAGTTTTCTCTGCCCTTTTGCATTATAAAGGATCTTCTCCTTCCCTTTTCAAACCGAGACTTGCAAGAGCAGGGAAGAAGTTTTGATGGATTACTTCACACCTCAAGTCCTACACTGTTTGGTAAATACAAACCCATGTAGTTCAAGAGAAGACCCAAGCCAGCATCCTCTCCCCAGTAGTCACTTTAATATTCAACCATAGACATTCTATTTCAATATACAGTGGGTAAAAATAGGGTAAAAATTTAGGACAATGGTCAAGAAATACTTCATTCACAGAGTTGTGAATCATCAAGGTGTTCGGCAAGTCCACCCAGCCTTATGAGGGGAGGGTGGGGTCTGAACTCCCTTTGGTACCTGAGGTATCGAGGATATTTTCACCAAGTACCATCAAGGGTGCTGTTTGGAGCTGACTCTGTTTCTTGTTGTACTGGCGGGTCTTTCTTTCCACTTTGAAAGAGGTGCTAAATTTACTTCAGGGAGAGAGAGTTTGGAGTATATGTAGAGCGTGGATTCCCTATATAGAGTCTAGCTAGCTTGCCTTTTTTTTTTTTTAAGATTTATTTGTTTTTATACAAGAACTGAGCTACAGACCAGATGCACGAGAGGGTGAGAGGATTCACCGGAGACAGAGTTGGGAACAGAATGGGCAGACTGACAAAATATATTGCTGAGGGGAGCAGCGGGCAAAACAGGAGAGGTCTGCTGCACCATGTGGGATTCTCGCCAGATGGCCGGGATCGAACCCGCGCTGCAGGGGCTGAGGGCAGCTTCACAGTGTGGTGCTCAACCACTTGCGCCACCAGCAAGACCCCATGGATAGCTTGTCTTTTAAGAGGTGACAAATGTCATCTCAGTCATTCACCCCTTAGTAAGAAATAGTCCATCAAGTCCTTGTCAGAGATCCCACTTTACCTTGACCCCAGAAAGGAGCTGAATCCCTGCGGAGGGCGCTGTGTGGAGCTAGTGCTGGGCTCCACTAGTCATCATTAACCCTGGCAGTCCAGACTCACAGAAATTCCCTTAGTGGGGGCCTCCCTGGTGGCACAAGGGGTATAAAGTCTTAGCACTGTGAAGCTATTGCCAACCACTGCAGCACCAGTTGATCCCGGCCAGGGAGCTACCCACATGGTGCGGCAGACCTCTCCTGCCTCACCCGCTGATCCCTTCAGCAGTGTATTTCAGTCAATCTGCCTGTTGTGTTGCCCACTCTGTCTCTGGTGAATCCTCTTACACCCCACACCTCTGGACTGTAGCCCAATTCTTGTATGCATAAAGTCACACCTGACACTCACCTGCAGCCAGGTTGCTCAGCCCTGGGGTCAGGTTTATGGACCTTTCCAGCTGCAAAGCCTCTATGATCACACGCAATGGAAACATCTCTAAGTGAATGAGACCTGCATCTGCAGAACCAAGATAGAAAAGCCTTTTAAAAAGTTTTCAAGACTCCACTCCATTTGGATTTGCTTCTTACAAGGTCACATCAGCCTGGAATTCTGAGGTTAATCAGGGACTGTCTGACCTCAGCGAGAATAGCCTTAAGAGACTTCCACTGTGTTTCCATTAAAACAGACCAATCACAGCACTAGGAAAACATTCCATTCTGTGAATACTTGGACTTATGCACTGTTTGGGTTTGCTCTTCTGTCTTAAAAGCCAGGAACAATTTTTTTGTGTGTGCAGAAAGTTTCTCCCAGTCGGTGGGGTGTCTCTTTGTTTTGGTTACTGTCTCTTTTGCTGTACAGAAGCTCTTTAATTTGATGTAGTCCCAGCTGTTTATCTTTGCCTTCACTATCACTGCTTTGGGTGATGTGTCTGTAAAGATGTTACTGAGGTGTATGTCATGTAGTGTTTCACTTATATTTCCTTCTATATATTTTATGGTTTCAGGTCTTATGTCTAGTTCTTTAATCCATTTTTAGTTGGTTTTTGTGCATGGTGTGAGGTAGTAGTCAAGCTTCATTCTTTTGCATGTAGCAACCCAGTTTTCCCAGCACCATTTTTTGAACAAACTTTCTTTGCTCCAGTGCATATTCTTTGCTCCTTTGTCAAAGATTAGTTGACTGTAAATCTGTGGGTTTATATCTGGATTTTCTATTCAGTTCCATTAGTCCATATGTCTGTTCTTGTTCCAGTACCATGCAGTTTGGATTATTATGGCTTTGAAATATAGTTTGAAGTCTGGGCGTGTGATGCCTCCATTCCCTTCTTTTTTTTCTTTTTTCAGGAAAGCTTTGGCTATTTGGGGTTTTCGGTGGATCCATATGAATTTCATCAATATTTGTTCTATTTCTTTGAAGAATGTCATTGAAATTTTTATTGGAATAGCATTGGATCTGTAAATTGCTTTTAGTAGGATGGCCATTTTGATAATGTTAATTCTTCCAGTCCATGAGCAGGGGATGTCTTTCCATTTCTTTGTGTCTTCTTCTATTTCTTTTAACATTGTTTTATACTTTTCTTTGTATAGGTCCTTTACCGCTTTTGTTAGGTTTATTCCCTAGTATTTGATTTTTTTTTTGTTTCAATAATAAAAGGGATGGTTTTTTTGATTTCTTCTTCTTCAGATTGATTGTGTATAGGAAGACTACTGATTTTTGTGTGTTGATTTTGTATCCTGCCACTTTACTAAGCTGATTGACTAGTTTGATTAGTTTTTCTGTGGAGTTTTTTTGGGTTCTCTGTGTATATTATCATATCATCTGTGAATAGTGATAGTTTGACTTCTTTCTTGCCTATTCGGATTCCTTGGATGTCTTTCTCTTGTCTTATTGCTCTGGCTAGGACTTC